CCCACCCCGGGGAATTTGCCAATTTTTTTAAAAAAATGCTAATGCCCGGGGGTTAGCCCGGGGGGGATGGGCACTGCTGGAATTGACTGATGCATAAACGACATGTATGTAAACATTTCTATTTCTGGCCTAGTTGAAAATGTAAGCACAACGGACCTCTCTACGGTGGAATTCGAAATGAATGACGAAAGATTGATTTATTTGACATCAAATTAAGGTTAGGAGTATCAAGAAGTCATTCTGGCAGAAACAAGTCGACTGTTTTGAATGTTCACACGTTGCGAATATTAAAAGGGGCAGCGGCCCCAATTCTAACGGAAGTCACTATTGAGAACCGATCGACTACACTAAATCGCTTGAATTATCCCGTAAACAGGGAAGCATGCAAAGTCCAAAATCTTCTTCAGCCATTTGAGGTAGGTAATTATCATTTACTTGTCATTTCCTCAGCTAATAACCGGAAAAACTACCAGTTTCACAGTTTAACGGTCTTTCATAGCATGTCGAAAGATGGCATGTCGAAAGATGGTCGAAAGATGTCGCCTATGCACGTAACACTGAAAGCGGGTGTAAATTACGTACATTATTTTAAGTTAGCATTTGCAATCGCGTGGTCGTTTCGCGTGGTCGTTTATCGTGAACAAACTCCGTGCGACTAATTCGAGTATTTCCCCTGTTGAATACAGTAGTCTTATGGATCTTGCCTTCAGAGTACTTTCCACCGATTCCAAACAATAAAATTTCGACCGTATAAAGCTATCTGTCGCGACTGGAACTAATCAACAAATGCAATCAAAGTGTAGCTGTTCCCACGGTTATCATCCCAAAGCCAAGTCATGCTAATAAACAAGGACAATTCCCTCAGGTTTCGATAAATGCTACCGTCGGAGCCTTTAAATTGGCCAAAATCAAACGCTGAGAGCACATGATAGCGAAGCGTACGACGACTGAATGGAAAGAACTCAAAGAAAGATCCATCGGAAAGACGAGCTCACGTGGCCTGCACACATACTCACATGTTCGCCACATATATTATCACGTCTTAGCATTAAACGGTACCAGTTTACTGGCCGTGACATGCCCCTGTAAAAATCAAGCGGGCTGGCCATTTTGGTGTCCTTCCAGGAATGTGGGTTTTTCGGCCTATAACCGTGCACAGGGAGACTAACTCTGAAAAGCCACAGGTCAAAATTAGGTTTGCGTTCCACTTCGTAGAACGCAATTATGAGCTCGAGATTTCTATGAGGTGATAGTTGATGAGGCCGGAGGCCGAAGGCCGAATCAACTATCACCTCATAGAAATCGAGAGCGAATAATCTTATGTATTTTAAAAGAACTCTAACTGAAATAAAGGCAAATTACGGTTTCCCATAATTTTTCTACGTTTTATTAAGCTTCTCGCTTCAACAAAATCGCACGCACGTCGTCATTTCGTAGACGACCGACAACATGGAATGTCGACTTCATGATCGATCGATCGCACCGAAATCGTTTGAACGTCTCGTCGAACGAGTGACTGAATGAATAAAAAAAAACTTGCATCTGCCCAAAAATATGTCCATACAAGCCACAACAAACATGATAGTAGCCTTTGGTCTGCAAGTCTACTCAGTGACAACACATCGATAATCTTACATATATTAATGTAAATTAATGACCTACAAGGCGACAAGATGGCTTAAATAGTCTACCCCGCACATGGCAATATCGCAGATTTGTTTCGTTTGATGCTAATCCCTTTGCCCAAATAAACAAGCTGGATGTTAGTCTTGGGGTTTTTGTGCCCAGTCAGGTTTAAGCAGCACGCTTGCCGTAAGCCAACATGAAATAGTTCAACACTTGTTTCGTAAGCCTTGCAGATTAATCGATAAAGCTCAATGGTCAACCGAAGCCTTGCGCATAAAAGCCATCAAATTAAATTTAGAAATTAGCTTTTAATGCGCTTGAAAGAACTTATTTAAGGTCGTTTTAACAAGGAACCTCTCAAAATGTTACATTTCGCATCGCGTGGATTTCAAAGGCTGTTTGAGGTCCACAATGTTCCGAAGACAATAGCTCCACCATAAAAGAAAAGAAAATTTAAAAAGGGTCGCTGATGTATCGATACTGGGTAGAAAATATTTCGAATCGCAGTACATCACGAGGTTGGCGAGTCTTGACAAATCAACCAAAAACGCAAGGTTAAACTAATTTCAAATAGCCGTACAATTTTGAACAACTTCACAAAAACTTTGTCCAAGAATTTAAGCGCGGCGCGCACAAAGCGACTTACTCGGGGCTATTAGCATGCAATTAGGCACATTTCAATAGACCGGGACAACAATACGCCAAATAGCACTTTAAACACCCCGCAAATTTCTATTCCTTAATCCACGGAGTACAAAAGTTTGAGCATTTACAGTGTACTTGCTTATGTCACTACAGTAACCAGTGGTTGCAGGGAAAGATCTAACCCTCAGTTTACCGAAGAGTGTAATCAGCTTGCCGATACGTATAATTTACATGAACTTCGATTTTACCTAATTGAAGAAGGATCACTTGTCCGTTAATCGGAGTTGTTGTAGTTGCATTCAGATGAGTTAGTTTCAACTTAAGTGGCTTCCCAAGAAACTTGACCGGACCAAGCGACTTGAGTGGCATACAAGCTTCAGATTTCAACCCAAGGGTTCGAAAGTACGAAAACACGTCTTTATACCGATTGCTGAATTAAATACATATCTGCATTGTAAAAAGGTGTGAATTGATATCATTTACCGGTCCCGCAAAGGTTATTACTAAACCGTTCAACTTAACAATTGGACTACTTTTTCGCATTTTTCCGTCGACAGAGCAGCCAAAAAAAACGAAAAACGACGGTAACAGTGACAGAAATAACCAGTGTTCACCAAAATCAATGCATTCTTCGTCAAGGAACACAAAATCGAAGGAGCTGCGCGTTCCACTTAATCAACTTACTCAGAAATACAATGAGGGAATTTGGACGATTAATTAACTTTTTCACCGTACAGTTTGGACGCACTGAAATCAAGGTCACTGCTGAGAAATGACTGGCCAAACCTCAGGAGAGTGTGTATACAAACTAACGGAAAGGTTGGCGCGCGTTCAAAACGCGCAAGACCCTTTGACTAACAGGGTCAATTCATATTCAATTGAATTACAGCGGCTAGATAATAGGTGGTAAAATGTGATATTTCGTTGGCGTTAATTTAGCAAAATGTGTCAATAACTCCAGCGGGGCTAATTCTGTTATTTTTGTATGGCAAAAAGGGCAAGTCGGGGCACATGGCCAAAAAGTCTTTTTAAATGGAAATGACCCTCTTCTTGTTATGAATGAGCCCTCAGAGACTTCCTTATGAAAGATACTGTTTTCCAATGTCAAATTTGTGGTTAAGTTGCACGAAAAAAAAAAAACCGAATTTCTAGTCTCTGGGCAACCAAAATAGTCAAAAACAAGTCAATAATTTTTAGTAACAAAAATGACGGCAAGAAAGAAATAATACAATTTGAAAACCACATCTCAAATGAAGTCAAACGACACGAGGCCAGAAAGGTGAAGCATGTTTACAACAAGTAGGCCGTCACACGTAGCTGATGGCTCGTAATAATACAATCAAACCCACATAGTCTTGCTTGCCACAAGGTGGCCGACACATAATTCCTGAGAATTCTCTAGAAATGCTACTTTTTCTCCTGAGTGGGAGGCATTCCATTGCAGGTGATTCACCTCCTCCCAAATAACACCCCCTCCCCTTTTCCACCGTGGCACTGTTCCAGTCTAAATATAACTTATTTAAACACGGTGAAAAAGCCTTGAAGTGTCTTGCTCAACAACACAGTGGAAAGATTAACGACCAGGCTCGACCGAGTCAAAGCACACTTGCCGAACGGCTCTTTCAGCAAACTTAATTCTGCCCTTCGCCGGGTCGAAAGACGCCTACGATTCAACCCGTTCCACACTGACAGTGGGAGATCTTACATGGTGTCTCGCCTTGGCTGTTACTTGTATGCAAAGACAGACCAACAAGGCTCTCTTGTTATAAAATAAAAAGTGAAAGTGCCCGGTTACAGATTGAAATTAATTCTAGTGTAAAAGCAGCCCCCGAGAACGATGTCACGCTCGTTTCTGAAATGTACACCGACAACAAAGGGGAGTTGTCGATCATCTTGAGAATTTTAGCCTACATCTTTCAAGTACGTCGTTTGTGATCCGCTCGTAATTTTCTTCATCTTTTAACACCCTTGATCCTTAGTTTTGGTCTGTTACCTCTTTGGCGTTTTTCTTCCCTAGTTTTTCATTATAATTTTGAGTTTTCCTACATTGGAGGAAAGTTTGTAAGTGACCCAAAATACGGTGAGTGTTACGTCGGCCAACGAGCACTAACAACATTACGGGATGGGAAAAACCGATATTGTAATACAGTTGCAAAGTGAAATGTTTTTGCATTTTTTAACTAAAAACTGATTGAATAACGAAGGTGGCAGTGCTTTCTGTCCTTTGCCTATGTGAATGGTTTGCATTAAGTTGTCCTTGTTGCAGACATGGGCCGCAGTGTAATAGCAATAGTTTTGTAAAGATAGAAAGAAAATTGACAATATGTGGGATTTCTAAACCCACTTCGTATGACCACATTCTGGGAACAGAATTAGCTGGTCATTGTAGAGAGGTGACTGTTATATGGAGGACAGAGGTTCAATAAAGTGAATGGATCAACGGAATGAAAAGACCACGCCATTCAGGAGAGGAAAATTGCGTCCTTCCGCGACTTCCAAGGAATACCCAGTCAAAACTTAAGTAAATGTAGAAATACTTGCTAAAACTGAAGTAACTGTGCAGCATTTCTAAGTGACGTAATATTAGAGTGCGGTTGCAATAACTTCACATTACCCCCGGCACCAGATGCTTTCATGCGCGGCTTCCTGTTTCGGTCAAATCTTTATTGTGACCTACGCAAAGAGTTTTCCTGCGGTTTCGCTCGCCACATGTCGACCTGAGGCATCGTATGAGCGAGTGAAAACCGCCTTTGGTACCCAAGATACTCCTAAGGCCAAATTTTGTGTGATGACACACATGCCACCACATGATATATTGTGCGCTGCAGAGAAGTGTTACAAATTGTGTAGAATATCATGTTTTACGACTCGTAATCTGGATTGTAAGTCGCTAGTATTATATTCAATGCACAAAATGTTACAGGTAATTGCCGTTAAAGAATGCTGAATGTATTGGATGGATCTAGCTCATCAGCAAAATATCGACCGCAATTTGCCATCGATCGCGTGCTCAATAATTAAAGCTATAACCGGAAAAAAGCCATGAGATATTCAGCACGTGTGTACAGAAACGTACAAACTTTAATATCAAAACAAATGCGAACTGCTCAGAAGTCACTTTTACACTCAACGTTCAATTATAGAAACAAGGGTGTGTGGCCAAAGGTTGTGATGAACAAGTCATTTATCGCACGCGCAATATCCTTATCTCTCCCGCAAAAGACGCTTCGTTCAAGCAGCACTTAATTCAAATTTACATCCTGTCGCTGTTTAATAGACGGACAAAAGTAAAAACCTTACTGTGAAACATACGCTTCCTGAAACATGCAAGCATATTTTCGTGACGCATTTTCTTCCTTGGCGATTGTGAATAACAAGTTGCATTAGTTACTGGAAACAATCCAGTTGTCACATCAGTTGGGAGCATCAAATGTGTTCAGTGGCTCTAAAGGAACGCCATTCAATTAACCGTGTCCTACTATGTAAATAACAATCAGTCGAAACGGAAACCAAAAACCCTTTCACGACTTGAAGCCATTAGCTGATGGGCTGAACTGTCTGAAGTTCATTTCAAGAGGTGCAGCAGCGTGCCGCGATATCTTTGCGACGAAAGCCACGCGAATGGAAAGCGTTCGTGCACGCGCTGCGTTGATGCGCTTAGGCAACAGTCAAATATCCAAGCGTTTAACACTTATAACTGTCGCGAATGATGGATTTATTCTGCGTTGCACACGGCGCCCGAGTTTAGTGCGTGAGATAGAAGAATAAAAGAATAGAATTCGCCAAAGCATAACTTAGAAACTGACAAGTCGGTGTCTTGTAAGCATAAAGAATGAATGGCTCAATACCGTTGCCAAGATTGTCAGCAGTCTGCCCGTTTCCAAGAGAACTAAGCTATTTGCATATCATGCTAACTGAAAACAGGAAGCTCGAAGCTCACCAATATCCGTGTCTGGCCTCTGTGTAAACCGGAGTTAAAAATGTAAATCAATGGTGTAATTTACCATTGACAAACTTTCAGGCACGCGTTTGGCGCGTGTGAGCAGAATTATCAAATAATAACCCAGCGATGGAACTGTTTGTTTGTGTAAATCAACCACTGCAAGCACACGTAGAATCAAAATTTCCACCAAGCGTTTCTGCTCCAAAAAGCGTGATGGAATGACGAAGCAAAACACGCCCTGAAAATGAAACTAAAATTGAATTCTAAATATGTGATGACAGTAATTAGTTTACATGCAGCACGCCTCGCTTCACACTTCAAAGCCAGCTCGCCACTTTAATTGATATAAACTCAAGGACATTATCAGTTTTCGGAATCTAAATAGCTTGAGACGAGAGGCGTCGTTTTGGCAGCTAATTTCGTGCTGAATTCGCGTGCCACATTGAAAGTGCCCTCATTAACCGCATCCCTGGGGCTCACTAGGAGCGGCAGGAATTCTTTGTAAAGCAAATATTTGTTACTGGAATAAAACAGTTTTATGTCTCATTACTTTGCAGCAGTTAGTAAACGACAGTGAAGGAATGCTGTCAAAAGTCGAAATTCTCTGCAAATAAGTTCGGATAAAGAAAAAAAAAGGGACAGCCAAATAGGGAATAGGATTTAATTTCGAATCACAGGAACGAAATTTTCATATCACACCGGAAGAGACCGCCTAGAAAGAGTAAGTGAACAGTACGGTTTAGCGGAAAATAAGTCGAGCTTACAGAAAACAGTTGTCACTCTTGTGTGCGAAGAAAGATTTGCATAGTAAACAGTTGATCAAACTAACAGCTTCTCTAACAATGCACACAAATCCTTAAACAAGCTAGCAGCTATCTTGGAGCGATAAAGTTGTTGTTAATTAGATAGATACCTAACATACTTCAGCCTTCTCCTTGGAGACACACGCAGCAAAAGTCATTTGACTTTGTAAATTATGCATCAGAAAACGGGCACAAAATTTAGTCAGCCCTGCGATAAGCAAATAATAAGCAACTTTGTGAATAAGCATTCTGCAATGGTGCGCGAAAACTCACAAAAAATGATGGATGGTTTGAGAGCTGTCGTGCACCAGGTCAGAGCTTGCCGCCGCCGCCCATTGGCCGCGGTGGGGTTTAAAATGTTTTGCTCCTACCCGGGGAATTAGCTGCAGAGAGCTGCAAAATGAGGCACGTGGATAAAACAAAAGCCTGGCTCACTATTGATCGGCATATAGAGCCGACACGAAGGATCGCTTGTTGACTTTGTTAGCGATTTCTAAAGGTCTGACGACAACACGCACCGCTATTGTATTGGCCAGCTAATTATAATCGAAGCCACGCGCAGGACACGCACAAAAGACCTCAAGACAATCCCGCCCTTTCATATGAAGATTAAAGGCACAAAAACAAGCCATAGGCCATTCAATGCAGTTAGTTTGCCTAACGTGTCATTGTGCTAAATGTCTCCAGAGCCCCTCCCACATGCTAAGTCTGCCCAACAACCAGGCGTGAAGTCCCTAAGGAACAAAACAAACCGCTTTATAGGCTCCGCCACGCGTCTCATGTAATATAGTATTTGCACGCACTTGTGTAGCGTGGAGCGAGACGAGTAAGAGAGCGAAGTGAGCTAGTGAGTGCGTCGCGCTGCTATCTACTCGTTGTCACCGCCCTGCGCAAAACTCATGGAGTTCGATTTTGACCCAGAGGACATCAGCTTCCCTTTTCCAGACCTTGACAATCTCGATTTATCAGAACTGAATTATGACTCGCCTTCACCGTCGTCTTCCTCGTCTGACTGCTCGACATTTGACTCCCCAGCGACTTCACCACTGAACTCTCCAGTTTCATCCCATTCGTCTGCACCTGGCAGCGACTGCGGTTCGCCAAGCTCCAGCCCGACGGCATCCCGGCACCGTACGCGCTGCCGAACGCCACACTGCCTGAAAAAGGAGCATGCGTCGATACTGCGAAGGAATGAAAGGGAGAGGAACCGAGTTAAGCTAGTCAGCGATGGATTTGCCACCCTACGTAAGCACATTCCCACCACACCAGCAAACAAGAAGTTGTCCAAGGTGGAGACGCTGCGTACAGCCATTGAATACATTAAGCACTTGCAGCGTGTGCTGAATGAGAGTAATAGGCATGAAAGGGAAGCACGTCTACTCCGACAAGTAGAATGGTTACAAGGTGCATACGATTTACAGGTAACTAGAACATTGTTGTGCTTTTGAACATGTAAATTGAAGGGGAAAAAATGCAACCGAACACGCGGGGACACTTCAAGGCTCGCTAGAGCGCGCTAGAAAGTTAGGCGCGCGCTTGAGTTCCTCGGAGCCACAGTTAAGAGTGCAAAGGAGGTTCAAAAAGTCCAAGCAGAACTGTGTTAAGTGACAGGCCATCAAAACTGTCAATTTGTTTCTTGAAAAATAATCAAATTTACACCCATGTCTTGGTGCAAGATCAAGTTACTTTACTAAAGAGACAATCAACTTCATTTCACTTTTGTAACTACGCATTGAATTAATGTAGCATGGTTTTAAGAGGCGCGGAAATGTTTGGCGTTGGCGGTTAGGTGCTGGACTTCTAGCTCTGGACAAGTAGGCGAGCAAATTCTGCAAAGCTATTTAACCATTGTTACTGATGCCAGTTTTCGGCACACGTGCCCCGCTATAAAACAAATACGATTTTCAGAACTGGATTTCTATTACTGGGGTAACTCACGCGCCCCCATTCATTGCGTCTTTGATTACCTTTCACTTAGCGCTTTATTAAAAACCGTTCATGCGTAACATTCAAATTATGAATGATAATAACGGCGCAAATGAAGGCTTTTTGTGGCAAGGGAATTGAAAATAGCTCTGTGTTGTAGGCTAGTTTCCTGCCGCGCACACTAATTGACTGAGCCGTTTTATTGCCTTTCCTGCAGGCCCTGTCCAGAGGGAACGCCGCCACTGCTCAACAGTTAAGCTCCTACCTTCTCCGTCTGCCAGAGATCGCTCCTTACCCGAGCGAGGTACCCTTTGTTGGAAGCTCTGTGAGTTTGCCGAACGTTTATGGTCATGTTAACTAATTCAGATTTAGTCTGATCAAATCAAGTAAGATACCGTTCATTACAATGGAATGACAAAGTGTAAGCTGAGTAACTTGGCGTTATTTTTTTAAAACGGAATTTGCGTGGTTATTTTTTTCATAGCGCGCAATTTCTACTCGTGCATGTTTTTTTGTAAGAAAAAAGTTTAATAAGCTTGGCTTAGGTGTACATAGAATTAGCTCAATCATGTTAAATAGGGCAGCATTGTTTGTTGACAAAGTGATTCTTTTCCTAAGTGAAAAGGGCAAAGTAGGTTATATATATCCAGCAGAGCTGACGTATTTTTCTTCTCAATTGGAGGTCGATCGCGTAAGCAATTTTTGAACTCTTCAGAGTTCTAATAATTTCGTAGTCTAGTGGCTTCTGAATTCGCTGTTCTTTTCACAGCGTTATTTGTGATATCTCCTTAACGGAAAATTTGTATATAGGATCTCTCGTAAGCGAGGATATTGTACTGATAGCATGCTTGTTAGTTAGAACTTTGTAGATTGCGGTGTATTTTTCAACTAATACTAGGAGGAAAGTTTCGAATTGAAAAGAATTCTGGCTGCTGTATACAGCCATTTGACATTTCCATCAAATGGAAAAAAGTCGGGGTTTTAATTCTTAGTTTTTTTTTAAGACGCCTTTGTTTTTTCTCCTGAGGGTAGAAAATCTTCGATGTTCTGTAGCTGAATAGTTATTAGCTGGGCTCACGTAACTGGCGTGAAGCCAAAGTGAAATATGCATATTCTGAATGTACAAATTAATCCGGGGTACAAACTTTAATTATCTCGCGATGCGTCAAGAGAAACGGGTTAACAACAAACCACAAGAAAGCGGTAACAGAAGTTTATGGTCGCTGCAACAGAATTTGCATGTTTCATCAGTAGTAGGTCACCGTAGAAATATCGACATAACAATCAAGTAATAAATTGAACTCCAATGAGTTTTAAGAATTTCCTTCGCTAACGCTCGAAGAACTATTTTTTTGTAATGGGTCAGATGCTTGCAAGGTCAAGCGTATTGAAGTAACAACTTCGGGTTTATGAAGGTTTGAAGTAAGGACAGAGTCCATACATCATAGCACACAAAGGTAATTGAGTTTGTAGTTGATTCTACTGAGAAACTCGTGAATATTCGGTATAGCCTAAGTAGAATATACCACGATATATAAATACGAATGCACATAATTGTAGTTTAAAAACGCCATCTGATAGATTGAAGCTGAGTTGTTCAAAACGTTCACTACAATGAACGAAATAAGATTGGTGGAAAAACTCTTTTGTCTTAAGAAGAGATTGTTGAGTTCTAGTTCTAGGGTTTAAGGTGAAGATGTTTGTCCAGAAGAACTTCGATTTGAACAGTTTTGGACACCCAGCTGACATCTGTTAAAAGCGAAATTTGCTCGGCATGAACAAGAGGACCTGTAATCCGTATAAGTCTGAGAACAGACTAATTGTACCAGTGCTGTGCACCGTATAAATAATTTGTGTAGAATAAAAGATAAGCACTTGAATACCAGGTGCTCATGCCATGACAGACAGATAGAGAAACTCAATATATATACCTTATAATGGAATTTGTAAAAGAGAAATTAAAGTTGCACAAGTTATTTTTTAAGCAGTGTGGACCAGTGTTGTTGCTTTAGACTGGATTCCTGCCAAGTTGCCTTTGTAGTTTACAAATGTTTTGCAGTTCAAAGTTCTTCGACTGAGTCTTATTGAAACGCTGTTATCTGGTGATTAGGATAAAGCACATGGTGGCCTTTCGAAACGCTCGGCTGAAAGCAGCACACGAAAAGGGCTGCACTTAGGCCAGAGCGCTCAGCCAGTGTTGGTATTCACATGAAACAAGACCGCAAACCTCACTTGAACTTTTAAACAAATGATAACTAAACGAAAACCTTGCAAGGTTAAAACCAACTACTGTACCATGAAAAAAGTATAATGGTTTGGCTATCGAGTGGGAAAATATGTTTCAGTCAGTAGAAAAGGGTAGAAAATTCGTTTTCCGCTAAAGGTGGAAGTATTTCTTAATCGACTTCACCCCCTGACGCGAGCGTGTAAAACCAAATAACGCGGCTTGTCCACAGCCACACCGTGGCAACAAATTAGCACAAGGCCACAAGGGTCTGACACAAATCACAATAACCCCGGCTAATGATAACTACCTTCATTTGCGACATCACCGAGAACAATTTACGACATGCTGCGAGAACAAATGAGCTTTCCCTTGCCACCCAGGGCAGCGCGGAACGAATAAACGAATGACAAAGATGATTGTTTTCAGCACTGTTAGAAACTGTTCTTTGCGAACGCTCTTTGAAGGTGAGAGGTGAAGCTGTGTAAGAGTGACGAGAGTTCATCTCATTCGTTTAGCTTATAGTAAAAGAACTCTGAGATATACACTGTCAATTGTCGTCTGCTGTTCTAAGGTAACAGAGCACATAACAGCTTACGCTAACAAGCTTTACTATCTCTTACTAGCATTCCTTTAGATTTCTTCGCGCCTCTGAGACTCGAAATCTTTTCCACGCCCTCTCTGGCTTATTTGTATCTGTCTTGATAGCGAATATTGTTTCGCTTGTAGATAATTGTTGAAGATTGCCTAAGGGGTATTGGCTTTTCTGTTCATATTGCAGCACCTGTCTCGCTTAATGATAACCGACAATAACGATAGCTGCGAAAATAACGCCGTGTTCTAGTGAACCCGGCCATATGGAGTGTACTTCATACGACACTGATTTCTTCATTACATTCCCACGTTAAAAGCGTAACTGCCTGATGTATCTGGTCGCACAGCAAAAGTAGCGACAGAATTCAGGCAAAGAAGATTTGCACACTGGATTGAGTATAATGGAAAAAACCAAGGACTCCTCCCTTTGGCTTTGACTATATGCCTAAATGGACAAGATGGCTAGTTTTCTAAGTATTGTAAACTTTGTTCAACCACGCTCCCATATGACTTCTTCAAGGTTTAAGCAGGGGCGAAAATTTAACCACTAAGCGTTTTGTTTAAACTTCCTATGCACTTGTTATCTGATGTGAATTAAGTATCCTTTATGTCCATTAAGTCAAGGCAGTTAACTCGAGTTGTCGCATAATGGGGCTTACCTGTAATCAAAACACTGAATGGCAAGATATTTTTGGGTGGACTATTTATGTTGCTTTAAATTAAATGTCTTTATAAAGGACAACTGTCTGAAATGGGAGAAACAGATTGAACATATGTTTATGATAATTATCAGATTATTCTGTGCTGAAACCATAGAAGCGATCATAAAATTATATTGGTTTGCTAGCAGGTTCTTTGCAAAAATACTTCAGGGTGTACTAAACACAAAGTTACTGCGGTAACTAAGACCAAACGTCTTGAAACACGGCCTCTTTTAAGTTAATTGTAAGTGCTAGAGTATATATACGGCAAGCACGTGGGTTTGCTGAGTGGACGGGCGTACTGAAGCGCAATATACTACTGCAGATTCTCCACTGATAAGGCAAGCAAACCGCAGACAGCGAATTCATGAGCTGTAAACTAAGAGTTTTCAACGAATGATGTCTTAGAAGAGCAACGCTGGGTACACCCATCACGCAGTGACACCGAAATCCTGCAAATGAAAAGGTCAAATGCTGCTGGAAAGATTGTTTAGATTGTTAGAATCCATCAGCCTTGGATTATTAAAGCTAACAATCCAAGCACATCACAAACGCAGTAGGTTATGAGCTAAGCCGTACTAGATGTCACAACTTAAGTAAATATCACTAGCCACGGAAATTCAAATGTTTTAGCTTATCTGGGAGTGCAACTACTGTAAATATGTAGATTTTATGGTAATGAGTGTCTTCTGAGTAGTGGCACCACTCGGCTTAAAAATAACATATAATTGTTGTCAACGTTTTCATCTACTCATTAGGCTTGAGGCGCGAGAATGTTCGAGACTACAGTGTTGCGAAATCCCCGCGCGAGATTCACAAAATAACTTCTATCCTATGCGCACAGTCGCACAGTTTTGAAACGCTCCAAAGTTGTGCATCCTTCCTCTTTGCATTGTTCACTCCTTTCTTTGAAAAAAGAGTTCAAAGTCTGGCAACGGAATATTTATTTCTCAGTCTTCCGTATCACGCCCCCTCCAAACGTCCGTCTCTATAGAATTACTCCTCTTCAGTCTGTAAAACTATTTCCAACTTAACAATGGAAACCACGTGTTTTAAACCATCGAACGCGCGGTGCGGTATGGAGGCGTTGCGCAAACTGCATGCTGAAGAATTAAAATTTTAATGTTTAGAAAAAACCAGTTATATACAACTTGATTTGCAACCGTATTTACGGGGGACAAATTTTGAAGAATTGTACGTGTGGATTTGGCTTGATGAAATTTTGGTTGTCTGAGAACTAGACCAAACAATGATCACTCGAGTCGAGATGATCGCTCGATTCGAGTCGTAAAACAGTCAGTGCTAGGAACGAAGACGTTTTGGTGTATGTCAAAGATAAGATGAATGTGTACGATTTACCGCGATAACTGAAAACGGCACTAACTTAGCTGCTCAGAACAAAATCATAACAAAGTCTATCACAATATGCTGAAAAGTGTGCCTGATGCTCTTATCCACTTGTGTTACAATGTCCAACAGCCGACATTGCCTCGCAAAAGCTTGATTTGTCTGAACAGGTATCCGTTCAGTCAGTCAGATGATGCGAAAGTTTGGCCCTTCATGTAAGGCCAATTTAGTTTACGCCCATGGAAAAAAAGAAAACAATTTCAGTCCTAACGCTTAGTCGCTAAATTGTGCAAAACGTCTTGCAGTCTGAAAATCTTAAATACCCAAAAGCGATGTATTCGTATCCCGAGTACTTTCTCATTACAATCTGAAGAAAGTTGGCCAAAAGAAAAAAGAACATGACTATCAGAAACAAGGTAATTATATATAGTGTACAATAAACAGTAAAGAGAAGGTAGATACTGAACTGAGCGCCCTGCGGATGGATTCTGTATACAAAATAGAGACTAAGCGTTGCAGGCAGTTTTACAGATCCTGTCATATTCATTGTATTACTGTAGTAGACTACAATGATCTGATCTGCTTGCATCATAGACACGGCTTGTGGCATAATTTCCACAGCTCCCTAGAGTTCGGTCTTTGTTTCGTGTCACGCTTTAGTTCTTCACTGAGCTGTTTTGATAAGGCAACCTGGGGACATTTACAAAGACTGATACATTCGATTAAAATTGTCATTGTTATGCCTACAGGGATTGTCCGCTGGAAAACTGTGCAATTCGGGAGTGTCGTTTTCCAGGAAAAAGTGTATGTAGTCGTTTATCAAAGGTTTCCGGTCAGTAAATTGTTTTGGCGATGATTGATTTTCTTCCCCGATATCTGCTGTAGGGTTTGCACCGTGTCTAGTTAAAGCGTCGCCGGGGAGACTAGGACGAGTGTAATGCATTATCTCACAGCTGCCAAGTGTAATTAAAAAGCGCTATGTCATGTTATAATTATCAATATCCACCTGTGTTGAAGTATACCGGATGACATTTAGTCAGTGAGCCACTGACTTAGAATATGTACCAAACAACTTTTAATAAACTACAGGAAAATGAGTAGATTTCCGTTGGCAAATACGAACAAAGAATCCCTTAAACAGTGCGAGCAGATCGAGAAACGACATGTGTATGGAAAAAAAAAAACAAACAATGGGGCAAAATATGACGGGACACACTGGGTTGCTAAGAAATGTCTTCCCCGCTTAATAACAACGTAAGAAAACACTTCTTAAATATTGATTTGTTTTGATGAAACCTATATCAATATAAGAGATGGAGTTAACGTGAAAAACAGGAAGACGAAAGGAAAGCAGAATTCCACAAGACAAGTCCGGGTGGTGTAATACTGCGGGTTATTAGATACTATAACATTTTCTGCTCTGCACTACGGCGGATTTTCTTGTTCTAATCGAAAATCTCTGCCTTTGCGTTGCGAGGTTTACGTTGAATTTGTTCTGAACTAATCAGTCGAAAACGTTGGTCAAGTCGTAATTTTGAAGGGCTGCTATTTAAGTATGAAAAAGCAAACACAAATCTGTGGGAGCACGTAATAGAGACCGATATTTAACATAAGAGGCCTGCACCTTTCATGAGCACACGTTAAAGAATGCTGAAGTGATTTTGAGAGGCTTGTAGATAATATTTTTAGATTGTATTTTATTTGTAACATTGTCTGTACTTTGTGAGAAACTGATATCTTAATCTGACACTTTACAAATAAAGTTATTTTGTTTAACAATGAGTAATCGGAAGCTCATTAAGGAAGTATGGATAACTGACGCTGTGGGCGAGGAAGGAAGTGGATTTTTTTTTTAATTTGAATGTCACGTTTTGTATTTTACTCAGACTAACTGTTGTAAGATTTGTCGCGAATCAGTTTGTCGGTACATAAGGTTGAATTTTTTCAATATACTCACTTTCTTTGAAAGTTCAAAAGCAGTTGTTTTTTTCTAACACGGTGAAGTTTTTGTCATGCTTTAGTCGGTCTTAAGAGGTGCGTGGGACATTAACGCGGTGGTGCTCAACATGCAGGCAAGACAAAACGTGGACTCGTTATGCGGTGGGAAGTTATATCTGT